GAGGATCAAGAGGCTGCCACAGAACCGGTTCTGCCAGTGGCTTCTTCCTCATTGTCCCCTGATGACATGGTGGCAGGCACTTCCCCATCTGGACCACCACCCATGGACTACAGGGCCCTGCAGGAACTTCTCCAAAAGGTGGCCCTGAATATGAACCTCCAGGTGGAGGAGGTGGTCAGAGAGGAGGACCCTATGGTGGACATCGTGGCACCAGAGGGGCCTGTAGGGTGGCCTTACCCATCATAAAGTCTATTCAGTCTAACGCCAAGACTGTTTGGCAAATGCCTGCCTCCATTCCCCCCAACGGCCAAAGGGGCTGAGCCTAAATACTTTGTTCCCACTAAGGGATACAAGTATCTTTTCACCCACCCTTCCTCATGCTTTCTTGTGGTGGAGGCGGTAAATGAAGAAGAGAGGCAGGGTCAGCAGGCCCCCGCTCCCAAATCAAGAGACGCTAAATAACTTGATTTGTTTGGAAGGAAAGTTTATTCCATGGGGGGTGGGTCTCTCTCTCAGGATCGCTAATCAACTTGTGATCCTGAGCAGATACTACTGCAACTTGTGGTCCTCAATCCTGAAGTTTAAAGAGCTTCTCCCCTCTGAGTCACGAGTGGAGTTGGGGGCCATTGCGTAGGAGAGCAGGGCTGTTGCCCAGACTTCCCTCCAAGGCCACGGACTCGGCAGCATGTACTCTGGCATCTGGGATTGCAATGAGGCGCAACGCCTGGCTCCAATCCTCTGGTCTTCCCTCAGAGGTTCAGCAAACAATACAGGACCTTCCCTTTGATGGACAGGGCCTATTTGCTGAACAAACAAATTCCAGACTGCATAGCCTAAAGGACACCCAGAATACAATTAAGTCCCTTGGCATGCACACTCCAACGACCCAAAGGAAGTCCTTTAAACCACAGACCACCCAACAGTGGTCTTTCCCCCAGACCCAAACAGGACTTCTCCCGCAGGAGAAACACATATAGTCAGCACAAGCTGTCACGCCCTCCCTCTGGGCAGGTCCAGGGACAACCCAAACCCCCTCCGGGCCCTAAGCGCCCCTTTTGAAAGTGTGCACAAGGACAGATTACCAGTCCACAACCTGGCCATTCATCCTCCTTTCCTGAACAGTTTATCCCACTTCTATCGTGCATGGTCCCTCATTACATCAGACCGGTGGGTGCTCTGCATGGTAAAGGCAGGATATTCTATCCACTTCTGCTCCTCCCCATCCCCCTTGCCCGTCCCTCTTCAGGGACCCCTCTCATGAGCACCTTCTCGTCTAGGAGGTCCAGAGTCTCCTGTAGGAGCGGTGGAGGAGGTCCCCCCAGAAGTTCAAAGGCAAGGGTTTCTACTCCTGATACTTTCTTGTCCCCAAAGCAAAGGGCGGCCTCAGGCCCATCCTGGACCCATAGGAGCTCAACAAGTTCATAGTCAGCTTGAAGTTCCTTATGGTCTCACTGAGCACAATCATCCCTTCCCTGGACCTGGGAGACTGGTACGCCGCCCTCGGTATGAAGGACACTTACTTTCACATATCTATCACCCGGGCTCACAGACCGTTCCTCTGCTTTGTGGTGAACAAGGTGCATTACCAGTTCACGGCCATCCCATTCAGACTGTGCACAGCTCCTCGCATCTTCACCAAATGCGTGGCAGGTCTTCTTTGCTGCCACCACTTGCATGTCTACCCTTACCTGGACAACTGGCTTCTTTGGGGCCGCTCCCATCAGCAGGTGGAATCGCAGGTGCAAATGGTCAGACACGTTTGAACTTGGGTATCATTCTCAATGTCAGCAAATTCATGCTCACTCCAACTCCAAGAATAGAGTTCATCGGAGCGGTTCTGGATGCAAATCAAGCGAGAGCATTTCTGCCAGAGACGCGTCACCTGGCCCTCTCGCAGATAATCAGCACCCTTTGCAGCTTCCCCACCACCACAGCAAGACAGTGTCTCAGACTGCTAGGCCATCTGGCATCCTGCACTTACATGGTTCAACATGCCAGGTTATGTCTCAGGCCTTTGCAGGCGTGTCTAGTGTCTGTGTACCACCCGTGCCGCGACAGCCTGGACATGGTGCTTACCATCCTGAGGCAAACCCTTGATCCCCTATGTGGTGGCTAGATCCCCACATGGTAGGCGCAGGGATTCCTTTCCACCCTCCCCAACCCACTTTGGCTTTGGTAACAGACTCATCCGCTTTGGGCTGGGGAGCACATCTCAGAAGCCTGACAACGCAGGGCTTATGGCTGGTAGAGGAACTGGCTCTACATATCAACACCAAAGAACTCAGGGCGATTCGGCTCACCTGCAAAGCTTTTCTGTCCTGCTTTCAGGGCCACTGCGTAGCGGCATTGATGGACAATACCATGACCATGTTTTATATAAACAGGCAAGGTGGAGCCCAATCATCTCCTCTCTGTCAGGAAGCCCTCCTACTGTGGGAATTCTGCCTAGCCCACTCCATTCTTCTCCAGGCCTCGTACCTGCTGGGTGTTTAGAACATGGTGGCGGACAGCTTGAGCAGACATTTCCCCATGCACGAGTGGTCAATTCTCCCAGACATCATCCACTCCATCTTTCACAGCGGAGGGTTCCCCTGAATCTACCTGTTTGCCACACTGGCCAACAGGAAGTGCCCAGCCTTTTGCTTCTTCAGGAGCCACAGTCCAGGCTTGATTGCAGATGCATTCATGATTCCATGGTCCGGTCAGCTGCAATACACTTTCCCACCATTCCCACTCATCCACAAAGTGCTTCTCAAGGTCCGCAGGGACAAGGCGGACATCCTACTGGTGGCCCCACTTTGGCTGCACCAGTGCTGGTACCTCACCTTCATGGACTTGTCAGTCCAGTCACCGATACGGCTACCTCTCACTCCCGACCTCATTTCACAGAACCACGGTCGCCTCCTTCACCCGGACCTTCAGTCGCTCCACCTCATGCACTGGAGAATCGGTAGCTGAACCAGGCTGAGCTTGCCCTGTTTGGACCCAGTGAGGCAGGTCCTTCTGGAGAGCCACAAGCTGTCTACTAGGGTCACATGCAGGGCGAAATGGAAGAGGTTCTCTAGCTGGTGTGCCCAAAGGCAGTGCTCCCACTCCAGGCTCCCATCCCTTGTATCCTAGACGATCTTCTGTACCTCAAAGACAAGTGTTTGGTTCTTTCAAGGTCCACCTTGCGGCCATCTTGGCGTTTCACCCAGGTGATTCCAGATGCTTGGTGTTCACGCACCCCATTGTGGGATGTTTCCTGAAAGGTCTGGAAAAGATACATTTCCCCCGAAGAAGCCCCCTGTTCCAGCCTGGGATCTCAACCTAGTCCTCTTTCGCCTCATGGGCCCTCCCTTCAAGCCGTTAGCTTCTTGTTTGCTCCTTTTACTTCTCTTGGAAGGTTGCCTTCCTGGTGGCTATCATATCGGCGCGCTGCGTGTCTGAGCTGTGGGCCCTCATGTCTGAGCCTCTGTACACTCTCTTTCATAAAGACAAGGTAGATGCAACTTAGACCTCACCTGGCCTTTCTTCCCAAGGTGGTCTCCCACTTCCATGTTAGCCAGGACATCTTCCTGCCAGTCTTCTATCTGAAACCACACAACAGCCCCCATGAACAGCAGCTGCATTTGCTTGATAGCAGGAGGGCACATGCTTTCTATATCGACTGCACGAAGCTGTTCTGCAAGACAACCCAGTTGTTCATTGCTATAGCAGACCGGATGAAAGGTTTGCCAGTCTCTTCCCAGCGGATCTCCTCCTAGATTACAGCATGTATCCGCACTTGTTATGACCTGGCGAGGGTTCCTCTGCCTGACATCACTGCTCACTCCACGAGGGCACAGGCCTCATCGACAGCCTTCCTGGCCCATGTACCTCTCCAGGAAATCTGCAGGGCTGCCATGTGGTCTTCAGTGCATACTTTCATGTCACACTACACTACCATCCCGCAATCTTGGGATGATGCGGCTTTTGGCAGAGTGGTACTTTGGTCGGCTTTACCTTGACTCCAACCCCACCTCCGAGGTAAGGCTTGGAAGTCACCTAACTGGAATTGATAGGAGCAAGCACTCGAAAAAGAAAAAAACGGTTACTCACCCTTGTTGTAACTGTTGTTCTTCGAGATGTGTTGCTCATATCTATTCCATTTCCCCCCACCTTCCCCTCTGTCAGAGTAGCCGGTAAGAAGGAACTGGGGGGTTCAGATGTGGCCTCACCAGTGTCAAATAGAGGGGAATAACAACTTCCCTCAATCTGCTGGCCATGCTCCTACTAATGCAGGAATCATGCTTTCTGGAAATTAACCCCAATAAACATCACATTGTCCGCACTTCAGACTTCTGGTCTTTTGCTGCTTGCTGTCTGTGTGACAAGAACCCGGGAAGTGGGAGGGTGAAGGGAAAGTCCTCTAACATAAGGCTGACTCTAATCTTGCTTTAGCAAGTATACTGGTCTTCCTTCCCTTGCTTACTATCTCTAAGTTTGCTTTGCTCAAATGGAAACTACAGATAAATTTACACTTTTATAGAAGAAAATGTCAAGCCAAAGGAAATGTTGCTCTGTATTAACATGAGGGTTATGTCCAAATTCTGGAATGTAACCCTTCAGGCCTGCATTATTACAGTAGTATAATGTCACAATGGGATTATATTCAGGCATATCCTGGTCAGAACCAGTATCTGTATCAAACTGTCAAGCTAATTACTAGAATAACATTTTGAATATTTTATATTCTGGAAGAGGCAGATATGGCACCCCACTGCTGCTCGGTGTTGACTTACAAACGTTTGTCATAGTTTGGACCTTGTGAATTTTAGGTGAATTTTTAGTGATAGAACTGCACACAGTATTCCTAACTCTGGTCTGCTAATTCCAAATTATATAGTATAAAAAACTGAGCACTTTAACCAAATTTAATCTTAACTTTGGGGGATGGGGAGGAATGTGGCAAACATGCTGAATGCAGTAGACTTCAGATAAGTTGGCATCTGTCAGTAACTGTTAATGTTCCACAACAGAGTATTGAAACCCCCTGGAGGAGGCTCTAGTAATCTGTTTGGGAGCACAGAAGAAGTTTCCTCTTCCAGCAGACCACACAGAATGGCATCTAGCATCTTTGGAGCAGCTGAGGAACCTCAGAACTTTCCAAAAAGAACAAACCCTCCAGGTGAGAACACCAGTTTCCTCAAGGAAACTACTGAGGAGAAGTAGTATAGCTGATTCTGGGTTGGCAGGTATAATTGGTTCTTGAACAAAGTTCATGTTCCAGCTCAGTATCCTGAAACAAAGTTACACTTTGAGCAATGTAGCAGATAAATATCAATGCAACAGCATTTTTTTGCTGTCCCTGTAAACTATACACTACTGCTAGCTGATTGAGCTTGTGCACTAAACCCATCTGCACACCTGAATCAGGGAGCATTCAATCATGAGTTCTGAGTTTAGCTCTAAACTGAATTTGTGCTGTAAAATACAGTACTTTTTCTCCTGATGAACCATCAGTCTGACCTTGTTAAATATAGGGATTGGGGAAATCATTAATCCACCTGCTAGGCTTAAAGGACTTAAAACATTGAACAAAGGTACTGTGGGATAAGAGTTTTGGTAGTCTTTTTTTCTGCCTGTAGGCAGCAATGAGACTACTCTGTCCATGTCATAAGAACCCTGAAGTAGTCATTTTTAAGCTTGAAATAGAGCTGATATTGCACTGTGTAAACCATACACTAGGGTGATGTTTCTGCTTGCATATTTAGTGTGAGCTTTCGTTACATGGATAGTTTTAGTGGTGATAAGCTTGCCAGCGGTGAAATATGGGCATTAGGTAAATAGTTACCATTAGTCCAATATGGCAGCTATTAACTGTACAAACTACTGATGAAAACTTACTATTTGAAGTGAAATTACTGTACATAATTGAACAAAGCATGAATTAGAATGGCAAGTAAAGTTAGAGTGCTACACTGGACTTTACTATAGGCTCTTGGTTTTAAAAAATCATGTTACTAAAACCATAGGCAACTTTCCAGCCCTGCCTGTTTGCAGCCATTGAGATGTAAGTGCTCAAGACTATAAAGTAACTACTGGATGATGTCTAAGTCTGTGTCTGCATTGGCAGAACTCAGGCCTGTAGTTTTCTGGCCTAAGCTATAGAATAGGTATGATACCATCAGGTTGCCCAATCCTAGTAGGGAATTAGATCTCTTTCCTAATGTAGCCACCATGTAGTGTCAGGGAGGGGGAGCGACACTTGGAGGATCCATTCCAGAGACTTTTCCAGCTGAAATGGTGACATACACAAAGAAACTACTTCAGTTCTACCACATGTAAAGCCAAGATTTTTCTGAGTTCTGATGACAAAAGTCTTAAGTATTTTCAGAATATTGTAGTAAGCAAAATTCTAGGATTTCTGGATTTAAGGTACAGATTCAGTTAGTGATACCAAAAACCTCAAACTTGGATATTTGACTGTTTTTTAATCACCTTAGTTAAAATTTTACAGGAAGTTAGAAGGGAACAGTTAAAACCCTTTTCCAAGTAACTGTTCGTTACCTTGCAGGGGGGAAAGGAAGTGGTATCTTTGAGGATCCTAGCCCTGTCCAGTCTCGTCAACGCATGAATCCGCCTGGTGGGAAGACAAGTGATATCTTTGGGTCTCCAGTACCTGCCAGCCCTGTTCGAGCACACCCAAACAAACCCAAGGTATCTGTACTGCTGTGACTGTGAAAATGGGTTAGAAAAAACTGCTAATAGGGCTAACTATAATCTGGTAGTACATAGGAGCCTTGTTCAGAACATTAACTCTATGTGGCATGTTAGTCCTACATTATGCCTCAGGTAATGCAAAATTAGTCAGCACTGCCTCCACAACCCTCTTCTAGTTAAGTTGTTACTTGTTACTTTTGATAGTAAACTCATTTATGCTGCATCAGTTCTCAGTGTATTGCAGAGTTTTGTACGTAAAAATGTACAGTTGCACTATGGAGGTATGAGGGGGAAGCCGGAAGCTTTCTCAGTTGGATAGAGGAGAACTAGTGCTTGTGTCACCCAGATAAGGTGTAGGAGGCTGTCTTCTGACAACCAGGAGGCATTTCAGGCTTTTGGAATTGGAAGGAGATGGATCTCCTTGTTCCTTTTTCCAGGCGGTGCTGACTTCAAATTTGGGAGGCGCTGAATTTGGGGCAGGAGGGATAGCTCAGTGGTTTGAGCATTGGCCTGCTAAACCCAGGGTTGTGAGTTCAATCCTTGAGGGGGCCACTTAGGGATCTTGGGCAAAAATTGGGGCTGTACGGAAACTGATTCAGGTACACAGTTGTGTCAGTCATAGGATTACTATGTGGCAATTTATTTGGCTGCATAATCACATTAGACACAGGGTCATAGCTATGAGCAAACATTCTTCTGGGGGGAAACAAGAATGTAAATATTTGCCACTTATGTACCATGTTCTTGCATAGTAGATTGGCTCCTGCATCTTGGCTGGTTAACTCTTTCCTTAAGTTGAAACTGCACCACTGGGTGAGTCAGCCATCATACTGGCAAAGTTCTTGACAAGTGGAGAGTCTTGGAAACATACTGTCCCTTAAGCACTAGTGTTAATGGAGCCTGTGCTCCACTAAAATTTCTGCTGAAGGGAAACTGACGGTAGTAGCTTTATTGCTTCTAAAGTTCTAGTTGACCAATGTTACTAGAATATGGTTTAAGAACATAGAACTAAACTTGAGGCAGGAGTCAGAAGTGATATTCTTTATCCCAACCTCTTATGCAGTCCTGCCAGTATTGACTCCCAGGGATTCTGGGATTTGGATCATAGGAAGAAACTGAGAATTTTGAGGGTTGGGTGCATGCCTGCTCAGGGGTCTGGTGTTACTTTAGAGGGTGTGTTTTTTGCCTCTCTTCCTATCCTCTGCATTGGATGGTTCTGGGGTAGCACTGCTGTGCAGTTGGCTCCACTCTCTAGAAACACAATTTTGACCATCACTGGATGTGGGGAGAGTGGCATGAGGCATTGTAATTTGGGATGGAGCAGGGATGCAGTGAGAGCAGCAAGAGGAGGGGGATGAAATTATTCTGTTGGGTTTTAGGTAGAATTCTAGTCACTTGCTCATCCTCAGAGCATGCAGCCCAAATGTGTGTGCCCTCTTGCAACCTACTTTAAGCTCACAAGCCACTGATTGAGAAATGCTTGAGTACTCGCTTGAAAGAATTTACTCTGTTGGATAATGTGATGCTGTCTTTAAAGAGGGGGTTAAAAAAAAAAAAAAAAAAAAAAAAAAAAAATCTCTTAATGTCATTTTCATGCCAGCCCTTTCTGCTGGGGTGAAACTATTATAGAAACAGTAGAACAGTAATGATTTGATGTACTGGGCACTTTAATGAATTGTATTGATTTGACTGCAGCAGTCTTGGTGTGAGGAGATCCTTTGAAGCCATGCTGGCTCATCACAGCCGATTCCTGAATATGAGGATGGGTGAAAACTGTCCTTAAGGCTCATCTGACTCAGGCCTGGTCTACACTAGTGGGGGGGGGGGGGGCAATCTATCTAAGTTATGCAACTTCAGCTACGTGAATAAAGTAGCTGAAGTCAACATACTTAGATCGACTTACCGTGGTGTCTTCACCGTGGTGAGTCGACTGCTGCCACTCCCCCATTGACTCTGCCTGTGCCTCTTGCGGCGCTGGAGTACAGGAGTTGATGGGAGAGCGCTCAGGGGTCAATTTATTGTGTCTAGACTAGACGCAATAAATCGATCCCGCTGGACCGAGCACTACCCGCCGGATCGGCGGGCAGTGAAGACATACCCTTAGTAATCCAAACTAGTCTGGGTACTTCACTGAGCATGTTTTTATTGCTGAGACACCCACTGGAGCACTGAAGAGCTTGCTGTTCTGGGTCTGAACACTTGCTGCTGTTTTTGGGCATCAGTGGGTACTTGTAGAAAAGAGTGTTGCAAGATAATGGTCTAGAATGGATATAGATCCAAGGGTAGAAAGTCTTAAGGGTCTAATGGACTATTGCCATATCTTGCTTCTGTATATTAAGTGAGTTGTCTTGGTAAGACATACAGGCAGCCCAGCATAATGTGACGAGCACATGGGGATTGTGACATTATTGACATGAGCGGTGACCATATAGATCATTGTTGCAACCAAGGTCCTACAGTTGCACCAAATCTAGTACAAAGGAGGTCAAGTAAGGCGTCTATGGAACAGTTGTAATTTGCTGGTTATGATTATGCTGTCTGTATGTGTGTATCGTTTTTGTATTTGGTCAGCTTCCTGAGAAAGGAAACTTCGGAGTAATTGCCCAGTCAAGAAACACTTAACTGACCAATGGACTTTGGGAGATGACAATCCACATCTGAGCTTTCCTGGGAACGTCTCTCTATCAGTGTTATAGAGGGCGGACAATTTATGAGTTTACCCTGTATAAGCTTTATACAGAGTAAAATGGATTTATTTGGGGTTTGGATCCCATTGGGAACTGGGCGTCTGGGTGCTGGAGACGGGAGCACTTCTTAAGCTGTTTTCAGTTAAGTCTGCAGCTATGGGGATGTGGTTCAGACCCTGGCTCTGTGTTGCAGTAGGCTTGCATGTCTGGCTTGACAAGGCAGGGTTCTGAAGGCCCAAACTGGCAGAGAAAACGGGCTCAGAGGTAATTGCAGCACATCAGGTGATGGTCCCAAGGGGTTCTCTGTAACCGAACCCATCACAGGGATCACTGTCTCCTTAACGAACTCGATGCTACAGTTGCTCTTACAATGCCATTGCAGGAGGCTTCATGGAGAGCCAGCTGCAGCATTTGGCTCTTAATGCAGAAATCGCATTGTGTTGGTTTAAAGGATCCTTTAGGTCCAAGATTTAAGAAAATCTTGTAGTGGAGTAGTAGTTGACCTATACCCTATGAAGCCCTAAAACAGTTCTGAATTTATTGTAGGATCACATTGTCTTACAAGAGGCAGGAGATGCATCAAAGGAACTGAAAGGTAAGGCAAGAGAAACCTTTTTCTGAGATGCTGTGAAGAGTATTTTGTGTATGCAAAGAGGAACAATGAACAAGACTAATCCTGGTTTTCAGGACAACACAGTCAAGCAAGGTCATGGCTATAGAACTTCAAACTGGGGAGTCAGACTTTCAGTATCAGTTACATGATAGGAAGTGACCCTGAAATAACCATCTAACCTCTTCTATTAAGCTGGGTCACTTTAGGTAGGGTGTTGAAAGTGGGCCCTATGCTAAGCTGAAATCTAGATATGGGAAGTGTCTGTCTTGATACCTGCCCTCCCAATGTCTCCTAGATGGTCTGTCTGTTTTTATAGGAGACTATTTTTGTGCTTGTCTATAAGGGGACATAAATAATTGTTGAGAACAAGATAGGAGAGTCTTGGAAGAAGTAGGCCTTGAGCAGGAAAAGTGCAGGCATAGAGGGAGACTGTCAGAGCAGGGGCAGCATAAGTGAAGGGGGAAGATAAATGTAGGGGAAGGATGTTAGGGTTGGAAAGAGGGAAGAATATACAGGGCTATTGAAGATGAGTGCATAAAAGGCAATATTACTGCAGTGCAACCATTCTAACCTCCCTTGTCATCACACAGCTACAGAAAACAAACCACAGATGGAAGACAGAAGCGAGAAGAGAGATCTTGGGAAAGAAGAGCCAGGCCCCAAGATAGATGATCATGAACCCAGACTGGGGCCAAGGCCACGGTCACACAACAAAGTCCTCAATCCCCCTGGTGGCAAATCCAGCATTGCATTTTATTAGGAACGTTCACTTTCACTAATGGAGTCAGCACAGAAACTTTATCTATGAGTTTTCTGTTTTCAGACACTTGTATGGGGACAGATGTTTTAGGCAGGAGGATGGGGGCTTTAGTGACTCATCTAATCCAAATGGAGGACATCTTGATGTTAAGACTTCTGTAAAACCTGTTAGTTATGGTGCTTATGGAAATAACTGAAGACTCTTATGTGCTAGACAGCACAGGATTCAGCGGGACAGTAGCTTAGATAGGTGCAAGAGGAGTGTCCCTTTGTGGTGGGCAATTAAAAAAAAAATACTCTTAAGCTTGCAGCCATTTAGTAGCTCAGACTCTTGGACCTAAGCATTTAGGTACAGTCAGCATGGTGAAATTTCATCCCAGTGGATGGGGACTCGAGTGCCAGGCCTGGCACCCATCTAACTGAACCTAACAAGAACTGATGCTCTTCCCCTGGGCAGTGTATCCTAACCTCAAGAAGCTAAAAATGGATCTGCAACCACTTTAATATAAACATACTCCATCCTAAGCGGTGTTGCTGGGTTCTGAAGAGTTCTGCTTAGTGCTTGGCCATAAGAAGAGGCTTCCTCCCCAGGTTTATTATTTTAAAACTCTCATTATTCTGTGGCAATCTCGCAAGCCATCAAGTTGTGTAAACTTTCGGAGCACTTCAGTAATAGTCTGTGCTGATACATATTAGCTCTTGATAAAGGAAAAATTGTAGTCTAGTGTTCTGTCTCATCCAGGCACTCCTGGAAAGATCTTATTTCACTGATGTCATGCAAGGGTGCCTCCAGCCTTCCTGGTAGGGAGGGCAGTGATTTGGGCACGCAGAGTTACATCTATTGAAAGAACTCTGACAAACTACAGCAGTGTATAATTAGATTCTGGAAACTGTCCCAGGAGATCTCTAGTGAGCCAGTGTCCCATCACCAGCCTCTAAAAGCCTTCATGTAATGATGCTTTAGCTTCTGCAGGGTTTTTTTTCTCCCTCTGTCTTGGAGAAATAATGAACTGTTCTGCTTGTATCCTCCAGTAGCTTTGTTTTTTGTTTCTGTACTGACTCTGTTAGTGAAACCTCTGTTTTGTTAGCTGTGGGTTGCCTTTGACTGCCTCAGTTATTCTTTGGTAGTGTGGACAATCCAAGTTGCTCATCCACACATACTCTTGTAGCTATCTTAAGACTGTTAGTCCCTGTTCATCCTCTTGGGCCAGTCTAGGGAGCACTGCAATACTCTTCTGGCACAGTGGCTGTTTTGAATTATGTTTGCAAGAATGTGCATTGTTTTCTCCAATTAGCTATGTGGGGTTGGGGGAGGGCTCTCAAATTTCAGTTGTTAATTCTGACTGGACTTTCCTCAAATGTATCTGAAATATCAGTATTTGATAACATTAGGTGCTTCGATTGTTGGCCACTTGTAATAGTAATTTTTTTAAACTACCTAACTCATTACATACAGGAGTTATTCAGGTACAGAGACCAAGTGGCCTTATCTACACAATGGCTCCACATATCAGTAGCTGTTCTAGCCCAGGTTCACTGAAAACTATTTCTGTGACAAACTATTCAGAAGAGTTGTCTCTTAGCTAAGTGCTACACCAGCTTAGAGGTCATAATGATTATTAAAGTGTCAAACAAAGATGAATGACTAACTGTACCACAAAGACTTGCAGCTGCCTTTTAACTTACGAAAGTGAAAATCCCCTTTTTGTAGGGTGGAAGTGACAGGAATCTTAATGCTTCCTGTACCTCTTCCACAGGAGACTTGGCGCTCCTGCTGTTGGCCCCCTCCAGCTGTAAGAGGATGCTGATCAGTATTGAGGGAGTGTGAGCCCAATACGTCTGTTTTTAGATTCATATTCCCCTAATATAGCAGTTTCCTAGTTGCTATTCCTATTTTGCTTATTTGATCAAGTCTGTAACAGCTCCCCTGTCCCCTTCTGCCTTGTTAGTGTTTAACTTCACTTTCCAGTATGAGCTAGGCTTTTCAAACGGTTAGCAGGTAGGAAAGACCAACCAGTCTGCTCTTCTGCCTTCAGCTTTTGTATTGAAGGGTTTGTCTGTGGGCAAGTCAGTGAGCTTAGACTCAAAGCTTGATATCTTATAGACTAACTGGAGCTGAAATACTGAGAGATGCAGTTGTACAGTGCCTGTGTTTTAAACAGCAGTTTCCAGCTAAGTCTTAAACTACTATGGATTTCTGTCTGCATGTGTTTGGCTAACATTTCCCTTACTGGCATACACCCTGTGCTCAGTGTTTCAGTGTTTCAAGTTTGATAAGGACACATCTTTTTCTTTTTCTTTTAGGAAGAGGAGTGGAACTTGTATTAATGGTTAAATCATGGACTTCTTAATAAACCACAGTATTTTGTTACTTCACTGGGTACTCCTGTAAATAAGTCACCATTCTAGTTTATAGCACAAACTACCCTGTGATCAAATTCCATATAACATTTCTTGTGTAATACAGTGAGCCTTCTCAAGCACCTCTACTTCCTACCACAGTTATTTTAAAGGTGCTCCACCCTCTGACATGGGGTGGCAGGCCAGCCTCCCTCCCTGTTGCAGAGGCAACCTATCCTAGAGCAGAGGTGGGCAAACTACAGGCCACATCTGGCTCATGGGACCGTCCTGCCCGGCCCCTGAGCTCCTGGCTCAGGAGGGTAATGCCCGGCCCCTCCCCTGCTGTCCCCCCTCTCCCACAGCCACACCACCACACGGGCAGCACTCTGGGCGGCAGGGCTGTGCACTCATGCGGGGCAGTGCAGCAGCATGTCTGGCTCCGGCACAGCTCCCAGACATGCTGCTCTGAGCAGCATGGTAAGGGGGCTGGGGGGTTGGATAAGGGGCAGGGGGTCCTGGGAGGCAGTCAGGGGGCAGGGTCCCTGGGGGTGGTGGTTAGGGGCGGGGGGTTCTGGGAGGGGGTGGTTAGAGGATGGGGAACAGGGGGCAGTTGGATAGGGTAGAGATTCTGGGGAGGGTTAGATGGGGTGGAGTCCCAGGAGGGAGTGGTCAGGGGGACAAGGAGCGGGGGATGGAGGGGGTTTGATGGGGGGGAAGTGGGAGGGGGTAGGGGCCAGGCTGTTTGGGGAGGCACAGCCTTCCCTACCTGGCCCTCTATACAGTTTTGCGCCCCGATGTGGCCTCGGGCCAAAAAGTTTGCCCACTCCATCCTAGAGCATGCCTGGAATCAGAATCTACGCTAGCTTCCCCTGTGATGGATACAAGAATGAAAGTGCAGTAGCTTCCAACAGTCTGTGTTTAGATGTGTTTTTCTGCTATCTTAGCCCCTTTCCATAAACCTTGACATTATCTAAATTTGCCTCTAATTGCTTTGCTATTGAGCATCTACACTTGTCCCTAGAAATTGATCCATATTTGTGAAAATTCATACCTGTAAGCCTTTTCCCTACTGCAACAAATGTAAGTTAGTTGGGGATTGGTCCTGCTTTGAGCAGGGGGTTGGACTAGAGTGCATAAAACTGTCCTTGTATATTTAGCTGCTTTTGTTCTGTAGATTAGATACTTTAAGACTATTACACATCCAACTCCAGATAAATTAAACAGCATGGCAATTAGAGAGAAATATTAACTTAGGGTGAACTATGCAGACCCTCTGTCAAAGTTGATGTTTTGTCACAGCTGGAAGGTAAACAACCAGGGATCCATATTCCAGCTGCAGACAACTTCACTGTATCTCTGTGCTGCTTGTAAGACCAAGCTTTCCTATTTCATCTCTTGGTGGAACACATTCTTAAGACAATCTTTTAGGTAAGAGCTTGTGCACCTATGAAATAGTATCAATAATATTTAAATCTTAATACAGTGATAGGAAGGAGATAAATGAGTGCAAACAGTGGATGTAATCCCTAGACTGCGATAAAGGATTAAGCAACCTAATTGATGCATGACCACAGTAACAGAACTGTATGTTAGTCATACTATACAATCTGCAAATTAATTTTTTTATTTCTCTTCTAGAAGAAACAAATCTGACTTCTGTACTGTTTCCTGATTATTAAGGTAAACATTATCCAGGTTAATGCTCTAGACAATGTAACAGAAAAGTGCAGGTGCCTAGTTTACATACTGAAGTTAGCTTAAGATGTAGCAGAAGTGTTGATCAATTGCATGCTTTGGCAAGTCACTAGAGAAAACACTTGTAGGCTTTTTCATGTCTCAAATAGCAGTCAGGTAGCATCTGACAGTCTAGTTCAAAATTCACTATACATAATTCATGAGAAACAGCAAACTTACATATTGAGGGAGGGAAGAGGAAGGAGCAGAAGGTTACTGGCCTTCCCATTACCTTTGAAATAAATAAAGTAAGTTAGATCAGTGAGGTATATTAGAATTCTTTGAGGGTTCAAATAAGCATCCATAGTGTACTTGGACTTCCAGAAAGCTTTTGAAGATGTCCCTCACTAAAAGCTCTTAAGCAAAATCAGCAGTTGTGGGATGAGAGGGAAGATCCTCTCATCAATTAGTAACTGGGTAAAAAATAGGACACAACAGCTAGGAATAAATATTTTTCTCAATGGAGGGAATTAAATGGGGGCCTAAGGATCTGTGCTGTTCTGGAAAAGGGGATGTACAGTAGAGAGGTGGCATAATTTGCAGATAATACAAAATTCCTCGTTCGTTAAGTCTAAAACTGACTGCAAAGAGTTACAAAGGATCTCACTATAAGTGCATGACTGGGCAACAAAATGGCAGATGAAATTCAATCTGGCTAAATGCAAAGTAATGCATATTAGAAAACCAATCCCAACTACACATACAAAATGATGGGGCCTGAGTGGTAACAGCTAATTTAAGAAAGATCTTAGAGGCATTGGGGATAGTTCTATGAAAACATCTGCTCAATGTGCAGCAGTAGTCAAAAAGGCTAATAATGTTAGGAACCAGTAGGTTAGATATTTAGTATCTTATCTATAGATAAGATAGTAAATATAATGCCACTATATAAATCCATACTATGCCCCCACCTTGAATACTACATGCATTTCTGGTCACCAACAGCTGTGTTTTTTGTGAAGTGTTAGACTGCTGCTTATGACTATGTTAACTAGGCACAGAGTACATCTGTTATTCTTTTGAGGCAGAGCCCTACCATTTGTGTGCTACATTGGACTATAGAAATCCCAGCATGACTTTCCAAATGCAACTACAGAATGTTACAACATGGAGGTCTAGTAATGCGATGCTAATGCAGAATAGCAGTGATTGCATGTAAAAATATGCATTTAAAGGGATAGTATATCTGAGGTCTGCTTTACTAACTCACCAAAGGCTCTCCCCTCAACTAATAGGTGGCTAAAACTATTGTTATACTCCTAGAAGATTAGGGTTGGAAGAGACCTCAGGAGGTCATCTAGTCCAAACCCCTGCTCAAAGCAGGACCAACACCAACTAAATCATCCCAGCCAGGGCTTTGTCAGGCCAGGCCTCAAAAACCTCTAAGGATGGAGATTCCACCACCTCTCAAGGTAACCTATTCTAGTGCTTCACCACCCTCCTAGTGAAATATTTTTTCCTAATATCCAACCTAGACCTCCCCTACTGCAACTTGAGACCATTGCTCCTTGTTCTGTCATCTGCCACCACTTAGAACAGCTGAGCTCTATCCTCTTTGGAACCTACCCCCTTCAAGTAGTTGAAGGCTATCATCAAATCCCCCCTCACTCTTCTCTTCTGCAGAATAAGCAACCTGTTGCTGGCAAACAACACAGGCTCCTGATCAGCCACTAGGAAGTTTCAAGCTAAGTCCAATTATGACCATCCCTGTAGGACACGTGCGCTCACATTACAAGTATCTCCATTGTACTGCCTCATGATAGTAGAAGGTATGAGCATAAGCCATCAAGTTTTCAAGATAGGGCATCGTATCTTTCAAAATCTCCTGCCACAGGAATTGGAGCAGGTTATACCCTCTCCCCCTCCATAACAAATAATAAGTCTTTCAGTTGCCTTAGTCATGGGTGTTCCTAAAGTCCAGTCCTTCCATTATTTGCATTAGGTTGTACTGTGAGCCGGAGTAGCTTCAGATGAACTTAACACATGCTAACAGGAGGCAGAGAGGCAATTGCTACATCAAAATCTTATCCTAGCTCAAATGTATCACTGGAACAAAATTTGCTATAACAGAGGATTTCTCCTCTGTAACAATTACTTTAGAAAAGGTTACTTATCAGACTCATCAGTACACCGTCTGCTCTCACATTAATACAGAGGTTAGTAATTTTACTCTGCAATTGTTCAACCATGTACAAGAAGCAAATTCCATACCTGTCTTTTTTTTTTTTTTAAAGCAAATCATCTTTCAGGTGATTGCTCTCAGCTCTGTTTAACAATGAACTTAGCACACACTTGAAGCATTGTCCTCAATGCTTATAAGAGCACCGTTCAAGAGGTTGCATAGTAAAGATGATTGTTTTACTCATCCGGACAAGTCAATGATCAATGTGCATTGACAGTATAAGTTCAGGTTTTAAGGGGTTTATTTACTATTTTCGATCAACCGTTTCATACCATTTGAAGGTAACATCTCTGTATCTGAGTAATGCAGCTTGTGGGAGTGTTAAGCAAAAGGTTTGGCTAGTTTTCATATAATTGGTCTTGCCAATTTAAAATAAGTAAAAACAATCCCAGCAGCCTCTGCCATTACAAAATGGCAAACTTATTTACACACACAATAAATTTGTGACAGGACATTGACAATCGACAACAATTCTTGAAATGGAAGGCTCCTCAACCCATTCACGCCACTGTGTGAGGAGCTTTCTGTGAAGGTGCAGTGATTATTTTAATGAAATACCTTATATTGACACATTTATAATGATGAATTAAGGTGAATTAGAAGATGGTATATAGTTGCTTAGAACAAACTTCAGGTGGATTGAGTTTAGACTCTAAACATTGTAGTGTAGTCCATTTCAAAAAGTGCACTACGTAAGCTTCATCATTGGCTTAATGTACCATATGGCTGATTTGTTCCAGACACAAGGAACAAAACAACTTTCCCTTCATATGCATAATTCCCTTCATACACCAGCTTGTTTTCATGGATGACTGAATAAGGTTATCCTTGTAAAAAACAAAAACACCCCTAAAAATATTACAATGTATTCCTTAAAAGCATACAATTGGAAATAAAGAGGGACAATACTGTGCCAGCAACCCGTTGTAGTTGTACTGTCACTGTAGGATCCAAAATAGGGCATCCTGGTGCTTCTTCGTTGATGAACCCTTCATCTCCTCCCACTTCATCCAGGAGTGGTGCTGTGTCTACAGGCTCCCTGACCTCCTGTTCTGCAGATGGTTGCTTTGTTGCTCTGTTCAGTGTCTCACCCTGGCAATTCAGAGAAGCAGACAGTGAAACAAACAAGTAGCTTTCCTCGAAAATGGGTGTAGCTTACAGACAACCTTTCAGCAGATATTTTGGTCTTTAGTATTTTGTGCAACCCACCTTGGCGAAGGAATGTGTGATTAGGCCACCAACATGTGTGATACTGGTGGTTCCCACCATTGCCATGCCTATCTTTTAAATGGTATGGTAGCAAAACAGGGAAAGCAGTAGGTATCTGCAGGATATTCTGCAGTGACCAACTCAACAGTACCTCTCCAGAGTCGGTGAGAAAACCTACACAAACTACACTACCTAAGGTCCCTTTCAAACCAATATGTTGGGAGCTAAGTTTACACCTAAGACCTGCCGCAATGCACTTTTTGTAGGAAATACCTAGAGTCCAAGGCACCTTGTCCTGGAGGTAGGAGGGTAATGAAAGTGTAAGCATGTTATGACCTGCTGCTTGTCCACCATGTTGAGGTTAACAAGGCAATAATGCATGCAATGGTATTTGCCAGCATGAAGATCATCATCTGTTGCCAGCACTATAGTGGGATCTTTAGTTCACTGTTGGGTCCAGAAGATTAACATATGATCATGTGAGAATGTGTTTCCTCGCGCTATATAACATCCAGATAAAATGAAGCAGCATATGGTGTTGAGTTTCATGTCCTGAAACCATGCTTCGTTTAGACCACAAACAAAACTGGTTTTATGCTCTCAAGTTTAGTCCCCCTCAGCACAACTTGTGGGCTTTTGCTTAAGAGACAAAAGGCACTAGTTCTCACCTGGACTTGGTTCCCAGAATGTGTCCAACGATCAGATTGGAGAGGCCAATTCCAATCATCTGCACAGAGGTTGCAAGCCCCATAGCTGTCCCTAACGTTGCCTGGGGAACCACAAAGGGTATGGATGGCCACAGACTCGCCTGTTGTAAGGAGTAATGAAATGGGCTGATGTTAAAATAGGAAAAGTTTGCTGCCAAGACACTTTCTAGAAGAGTCTTACAATTCAAGCCCCAGCTTCAGGCCACTAGCTCATCGACTGAGGGAGAAAGTTGTCCCCATTACACATTTGGATGCCTTATGGAGGGGTTTACACCTTCCTCTGACCCATCCACCATTGACCACTAGAAGATTACAGTAGATTACAAAAAGAAAAGGAGTACTTGTGGCACTTAGAGACTAACCAATTTATTTGAGCATAAGCTTTCGTGAGCTACAGCTCACTTCATCGGATGCATTCAGTGGAAAAACTGTTTTTCCACTGAATGCATCCGATGAAGTGTGCTGTAGCTCACGAAAGCTTATGCTGAAATAAATTGGTTAGTCTCTAAGGTGCCACAAGTACTCCTTTTCTTTTTGCAAATACAGACTAACACGGCTGCTACTCTGAAACCAGTAGATTACAGTAAATGGATGATGACAGTGCCTACATCTTTCTTCTCCAGTTACTCCAGTCAGCTTAAAGCACACACAATTCAGAGTCAAACATCTCAATAAGGAGCTGGGATAACTGACTCAGGTGGACACTCTGGATCCTGCTCAAAAGGTGTCATGAAAGGACAGTACTGCTTAACAGCTAATGCTTCCCACAGACTATGCCAATGGGTTCCTTGAGCTGTTTTCGGTTATACGGGGGTGTTTGCTGACTAAATCCTTTGGGCTTTGTAATCCAAAAGCCTCAGAATGCACACATGCCCAATGTTTATCCCTTGGCTAGTGTAAAATGCCAGTGTCTGGAAAGGAGTGAGCAGAGCTACAAAATGACCAGCTAATGCAGTGGCTTCTACATACTTACAGCAGCAAAGGAGTAAGTGATCCCCAGACAAATGGTAGAGACAAGCGGAGGAACAAATGTAAATGCCAGGAGAGCAAAGACTGGCGGAGTCAGCACAGCACAACCAACTGCAAACACACCTCTCAGTCCTACACAGTCCTGATGAAGGACAAACAGAAGGTGATTTACCTAGAGTCCCCCATGGTTTCCACCAGGGCTCCAGTGCACTCTTCCTCAATGTGCGCAGCTGAGCAATGTGTAAATAATAACTTATAAGAGTATCAGCTAATGGAAAATAACACCTCACAAAGTGTTCCCATTCCTCACATGTACCAAGAAGGACTGAAGAGACTGGTGTGCCTATTAGAGAGTAAGGCTGTTCCAAATCACCTGAATTTGAAACTCCAAGGTTTTAGTTTTAAGGCAGTATGTTGCATTTTAGTGCTTACAGAAGTGAGGGATTGATAAATTAGACGAAGCATGAGTTGATTCTATGCAAGCTACTGCTCCTCATCCTTCGTGACGCTCTGTCTGTGCCCCTTAATCCTGACCTGCAACACTCCCCTCATTGTTTTATCTTGGGCCTCTCATGAGTATTCAGCTATTGGTGTGGTACTTCTACAGCACGAACTAGGGGATCAGAGATCAAACTCATTTCACTTCTGACCTAATACAGAATGGTCTTCAGGGTTTCCAGACTAGTCCCTTAACCCCCTGCATCACTAATGACCCAACTCCAGAGCCCTAATTTTAAACACTTGATCTCTGTCAGAGATGCACAAAATATTATTTGTACTAAGCCGTGGTCTATCAGCAGACAATCCACCATGTAGTTGATGTTCTGCTAAGTATTGGGTACTCACAATTAATACGCCAACTGCTGCAGAGAGAACAAGGGAGCTGTCATATACCGCCCCAGCAATGTAAGCGGCTGCCTGCTGACTGTAGTCAGAGTACTTATCCTGGATAAACTTGCTAAAAATAAAATTGAGGGGGACAAAAAAAAATTACGTTAGGATTCTTGGTCTGGTTATCTTGGCACAAAGCAAGTCTGAGCACACATCTGGACAGGGAGTTTTTAATTAGAGAACTTGTCAAAGCACAAACTCAAATCAATCATTTTTTTTTAAAAGGTGTGCTGAACAAAAAGGTCTGTTGGGGGGAGGAGGGAGGTTTGTGCCCTTCCTCGCTTTATGATGGATAAAAGAGGCCTGAAAGTTTGGGGGCATGGGGAGGGGAGCATGCATCTTGGAAATTCCAGGAACAGTGAGTCCTGTTTTCCCTGGTGGTCTCCTTGGGGGAGTAGATGATTTCTCAGCCCTGAAACTGAAGGGGTGAGAGGGATGTTAAATTTTTAGATACATTAACTCAAAACTGTGTGGAGGGAAGAATCAGCATTTAACGACTTCAACCCTTTGATTAAGGGCTCAGAAATCTCCCACTCCAGTTCTCTACTGCTCTAAGAAGATATCCAATAAAAGCAGAGAAGACAGGCCCCGATATCGCTACAGCAGAAAACAAGCTTCCTTCATACATTATGGAGGACAAAAATGGCGTAAACCTGGTGTTTTTTAAATCCTTTGTAGGGCACCCAGATTTCTACTGGCCAGCCACTGCTTAGCAGCTTTGAGAAACTAATTTATTTGGAAACCCTCTGCTCACCTAGATTTTGACTGGTTCCTCTTAAGTGGCTAGAATTATTCTGAGGACAGCTGAACTTCTTTGTAGCTCTGGGGCAGCAAAATGCTGTCCCTGCAGATTTACTGCCATAGATCCAAGTAATCAATGACACTGAAGGCACTGAGCCATGATTCTTGTTTTGGAAACAAGCCTGGAATTAATCTGCCAAAAGAGATATTTGAAACATGACTCTTTGTGCCTGAGGCACTGTGGAGTATTGCTCCATGACAGAACATGGGGATACAGCAGTGCAGGAATCAGGCCGTATGGGGACCATTTCTGGATAAGGAAGCAGATGACAGCTGGCCAGAGAGCCCATTTCAGGGAGTGCAGGGAGAGCCCCAAAGATCCCAGTACTGTGCATTTTGCTTTCACTAGGTTCTAATAGTAGGACCTTTTTGTTAATTGCTGCAGCAAGCCTGCAAGGACCCCTCCCCACCCCAAACTGCTGAGCCGTTTGTTTGTATTATAAATATAGAGCCCTCCTTTCATTTTTCTCCCAAGATCTCAAAGCACTTTGCAAATGTTAAGTTTTGCAAGCCTCCTGTGAGGAAAGTAGCAGTATAGCCATTTGCAAAATGGGGGAAACAGACAGAGGAGAAGCACTTTCCCCAAGGTCATATAGAGTCTGTGTCAGAGCCAGGGCAGGCAGAACCCAGGTCTCTTGACCCCCTAGTCTGCTACTCTAACTGCAGTCCCTCCCACTGAGGTTCTAGCATTTGAGGTTCTAGCATTTGAGAAATAGGAACTGCCATGCACAGCAGTTTTAATCTATGCCTTATCTTAAGATGCTGGCTGCTGGCCATCTTCTAGGCAGCTGCTCACATGTGTGGCAGTCTTGGGAAGGCTGCAATGGTTCTGAGTTGTTTAGCCAAGAAACACTTTACAGCATCATTGGTCTTGAATCTGACCCCACCGGAGCCCTCTGCACCTTCCTCCTGTTGACATTGCCACTCCAGTAAGTGTTTTAGTTGAATGGATTTATGCAACACAAACCCCCTGGCCTCAGAAGCTGGGCAGTTCTATCTAGATGCACTTCATGAGCCTTTCAGGTGCTGGTCAGATGGGTTTCCTCTTTGCCATTGTCCCACTTAAGTCAAAGGAGAAGTATTAATTTGCAGGAGACCAGATTTGGAATTTCCCCAATCTTTGGAGTTTTGGAAGAATCCAAGTGCCTTTAAGGTTGCTTTGGATTGGAAATCCCCATGTCTTGCATCATCTTCAGAGATGGCTGCGTAACAAGGGAGAGAAGAGTCAAAGGACCCTGATGTTCTATTGCTAAATGTTAAGCACCTTGCTTGAGAGTGACAGTGCTCCCTTTCTGGCTTTGTGCTCACAAAGGCAGCAGTGAACAAGCTGTTTGGAAAGCTCCCCATTCCTTTGAGATTCCCCTGTTAGCTAAATGAAGAGGGAGATGGACACAGTTAGCTCTGTACCAAAGCTCCAGTGCCGGGAACAGTTACCAGCACCAATGCTACCTTTCTAGTCAGTACCTGGCATCTGCCATGAAAGGGAAGACCCCGTTGTAGAAGAACATGATGGTTAGGACTAGGAGCCAGTAGCGAAGTGGCAGTCACCAGCCATCCTGAACCGGCTGTAAAGAGAAAAGCACCCTAGATTAATAGGATGCAAACTACTTCCAACTTCATAACTATGTTACCTTCTTCCTCTACTATTCCATGAGAAGGGCCAGATGGTGACTAGAGTCCGAAAGGTCACTCATTCACCTCTGGGAGTTGCTGTGCCCCTCTACACCCACACACCACCCTTCTCTGGCAGTGTGGTCAAGTGCTTTTCCTTCCCTTCATAAAAGTCTATGGCAGCAAAAGACTTTTCTGAGCAGAACTTGCAGCTGCCAAAGGCAAACCATGGGATGAAGCACAGCAGGGATGTAGGTATAACTAGGAGTTATTAATGAAGGGAAATACCAGAATATAACCAGTACATTAAGAATGGAAAACTGTCATTAAGACCTTCCCTCAGGGTATACTCTTCTGAAGTTTAATGGATCTGATGACCTGAAGCAATGTCAGCCCTGTTACTTGGGACACTAACAGTATGTCTACACTGCAATTAGACCCCCGTGACTGGCACATGCCAGCTGACTCGGGCTCACCAGGATGTTTAATTGCAGTATAGACATTTGGGCTTGGGCCACAGCCTAGGCTCTAGGACCCTGGAGGGTCCCAGAACTCAGGCTGCAGCCTGAGCCCTGAATGTCTACACCACAATTAAACAGGCCCTTAGCCCAGCTGGGCTAGTCAGCTGGCATGGACCAGTCACGGGTATCTAATTGCAGTGTAGACATACTCTTGGAGAGTGTAGCACAAAGACTGGTTCTGCATTGGAAGGAAGATGGGCTAGTTCTGACCAGATTACTCTGTAAATCACACAAGAGGAGGCTAGAATCTCATCTGTATTCACAAGCAACTTGCACAATGAACTCAGGTGAATGTTTGCTGACCCCTC